TCAGGCAGTCGGGTGGCAGGGCACGGGCGCGCGGGCACGCGGGCTTGCGGCGGCGGGGGCGGGTGGCGGCGCGCGGCGCGGAGGCGGTTTCGGTGTGGGCGTGGGCGCGGTGGCAGTCTGACTGGCCGGCCAGCCGAATCGCTTAAGTCCCCTTAACCGCCCTTTGTCGAGTGCCGGATCTGGGAGGCACTCGGCAAAGATTAAAATTCTTTTTAAAAAAAATTCTTTGCCGAGTGTCCCAGATCTGGCACTCGGCAAATTTTTTTTAAATGCTTTGCCGAGTGCCCCTGGCACGACACTCGGCAAAGATTTATTTTTTTAAAAAATGGCTTTTTTTTGAAAAAAAAAACTTTGCCGAGTGCCCCTGGCCCGGCACTCGGCAAATATTTGATTTTTTTTTAAATTTTTTTGCCGAGTGTCCCAGATATCACATGTAGAGATGTCCTGGTTTGTAAGCATCGTACATGATAACAAGCACGAAAACTTCTGAAAATTTTATCATAGCCTCCACATATGATATCACGACATCTCAACACATTTCATGATTTTCGGACTTCGTTTGCTTTTTATTGAATTTAAAAACACTTCGCACGCAAGTTCGCGGTCAAGTTTCGTGAACAAGATGTCCGAAATTTCGGGTCCGTTCCTGGATACGGCCTCACACTACACTCAGTAACATGACTATCATTTTTTGAATCATTAAATTCCAGTATTCGTACCACGTGCAGTTCAAAATTATATTTTTCAAAAAAATCCAAGTAAAAGAAATGAAGTAACTAAATATATCAAAAAGCCATAAAAAATCCTCAAATTCTAACTAGGAGTTGCTAGTGCCTTAAAAGGGCTGCACAAAAAATTTGGAGGCCAAAAAAAAACTTTGCCGAGTGCCGGGGCATGGCACTCGGCAAAGGGGGTCTTTGCCGAGTGCCACGGATAAGGTACTCGGCAAAGAAGGTTTTGAATTTTTTTTAAAATTTCCTCTTTGCCGAGTGCCTTAATAGGGTACTCGGCAAAGACATTTAAAAAAAAATTAAATCTTTGCCGAGTGCCAGGCGGAGACACTCGGCAAAGAAATAAAAAAAAATTCTTTACCGAGTGCCTAACAGCAGGCACTCGGCAAAGAAGGCCGCGGCCGAACACCGTTACGCGGGGCAGCCTTTGCCAAGTGTCGAGCTTTTGCCGAGAGTCTGACACTCGGCAAATAAGTCCTTTGCCGAGTGCCCTTCTTTGCCGAGTGCAATTCTTTGCCGAGTGCGGCACTCGGCAAAGAAGGTCTTTGCTGAGTGCCCGATTTTTGACACTCGGCAAAGAATTTTGCACTCGGCAAAGCCTCTGTTTCCAGTAGTGCTAGGTGTCACAGAATTTAGTGGTTTCACTATGCAACCAGAAAATCTAATCACTACAAGCTCACAGCTGCAACACCTTGAAGAACCTTTCACTTTAGAAGAGATTGATAGTGTCATCAGGGCTTTGCCCAACAACAAATCTCCAGGGCCAGACGGTTTTAACAACGAATTCATAAAGGCAGCTTGGCCAATCATCAAACAGGACTTCTATGATCTATGTCACAGTTTTTACAGTGATGATGTTTGCCTGGGGAGCATCAATTCCTCTTACATATCCCTGATTCCAAAGGTGGATAACCCCAAGTATGTTGGTGACTTTAGGCCTATTTCATTGTTGAATACTTCAGTAAAGCTGCTCACAAAGAACCTAGCCAATAGACTGCAATCTTCAGTCATCCCTCTAATTCACAGAAACCAATATGGCTTCATCAGAACCAGTACAATCCAAGACTGCCTGGTATGGGCATTTTAATATCTACATATCTGCCACCATTCTAAGAAAGAAATTGTCATTCTTAAGCTTGATTTTGAGAAGACCTTCGATAAAATTGAGCACCAAGCAAAGATTACCTTAATGGAGGCTCAGGGTTTTGGACAGAAGTGGATTTCTTGGATAAAAAACATCTTGAACTCTGCAACATCTCAAGTGCTCTTAAATGGAGTCCTTGGGAAAACAGTGCAGGAGGGGAGTAAGACAAGGGAATCCTCTATCACCCTTGCTATTTGTTCTAGCTGCTGACTATCTGCAAGTAATGATCAACAGAGCCAAACATATGGGATTACTGAAATTACCGATTCCCCTCCAGTCTTCCTCTGATTTTCCAGTAGTACTGTATGCAGATGATAATTTAATAATCTTAGAAGCTGAACCGAGACAGCTGTTCTTCCTCAAAACATTGCTCCATAATTTCTTTGAATCAACTGGGCTTAAAGTTAAGTACAGCAAGTCAATGATGTTCCCAATCAACATTTCAGATGAGAGGATTGACCATTTGGCTAGAACTTTTGGTTGTTCAAAGGGGAGTCTGCCTTTCACCTACCTAGGACTACCCTTAGGTTTAACAAAGCCCAGAGTATAGGATTTCTTGCCTCTGATTAATAAATGTGAAAGAAGGCTGGGTGGTATTTCTTCTATGCTCAATCAGGTTGGGAGGCTGCAAATCACTAATGCAATTTTCTCAGCCTTAACAACCTTCTACATGTGTACTCTTGAGCTCCCCAAGACAGTTATAAAACAGATTGACAAATTTAGAAAACATTGCTTGTGGAGGGGCTCAAATATCAATGGCAGGACTCAACCCAAAGCTGCTTGGGAGATGGTATGTGTGCCAAAAGGAGGATTGGGAGTCATCAATATTGAGATACAGAATCAAGCTCTGCTAATGAAAAATCTTGACATGTTCTTTAACAGAAGGGACATTCCATGGGTGAATTTGATTTGGGAAAAGCATTACAAAAATGGAAAGCTACCAAGCCATGTAAAAAAAGGATCATTTTGGTGGAGAGATGTATTAAAGCTGCTGTCAGATTTTAAGGGTCTTGCAGTCATCCAAATCAGAAATGGGCAAACCTGCTTCTTCTGGAAGGACAAATGGTTAAATATACCTCTTGAACAGAATTTTCATGAGATCCATTCTTTTGCTAAAAACAAGCTAATCACTGTTAATAGAGCATTCAGTCAAGACACAATCATAGGAATGTTCAACTTACCACTCTCCCAAACATCTTTCACACAGATGCAGAACCTTCAACAAATAATGGAAGCAACAACTTTGGAGAACAGTGATGACATCTGGTCATATAATGGGGGATCTAACAGATTTTCTACCTCAAGAACTTACAGAAAACTGATTGGACATCAGCCAACCGATCCAGCCTTCAAATGGATCTGGAAAAGCTACTGCCAACCTAAACACAAGGTGTTCTGCTGGCTACTACTTAAAGATTGGTTGAGTACGAGAAATATCCTCAGGATAAAACACATGGAGCTAGATTTCATATGATTGTGAGCTCTGTGCTTTGGGTGTTGAAGAAAGTACTGATCACGTTTTCTTACAATGCCCCTTTGCACTGCAATGTTGGTGACTCATCAATTTGACAACCTCCTTACACAGTGGCACTCTTGAAAACTTCAATTGCCTCAAGAATTAGATTGACTCCCTGTTCTTCATGGTGGCAATCATCTTAATGCGCTGGACAATTTGGCTAGCCACGAATGAGATAGTCTTTAATGAAAATCAAATGAGCATACAAGACTGCAGAAGAATCTTTCTTAAAGAAGCAAGAATGGTGGCTGTGAGAGTTAAATCAAGTCTTTCAACTCAGTTTGAACAATGGATACAATCGTTAGAAATGATCTAAGCCCAGGATTTTGTCTCATTTTCTTTCTCTTTTTTTGTTTCTTGAACTCTGCTTGTAAACTCTCTGTTCTTTTATTGCTTTTAATAAATGTTCTGTAGGGGCTGCGACCCCTCCAGTTTCCTCAAAAAAAAAAAAACTTGCTTCCGTAGTGAGGGCATTGTATGCATTGCCTTTGCCTTGGGTAAACATCTTTGGCTAGAGTTCGTCAACTTCATGAGATAACAATATTGTCAACCACTCCATTGACTTTACTCTGTATTATTAGTTACTCAATTGGTGAGGTTACATTTTTCAACCATTCCGTTCTGTTTTTAAGTGGAGCTTAATGTCGTCACCGGTTGGATAATTATACAACTATAAAATGGTTTACATCTTTCTCAAAGGGTTGTTTGGCCTTGCACAGGAATGACGGCAGCTGCAGCAGCAAACCTCCATCTTGGCTTACACACGAAGCTAGGTGTCTTGTCTGATTGTTGCTTCATATAGTCCACTTTTTCTGTCGGCTACAGGCGGTATATTTCTCCTTTTGTAACCATGTTCTTTCAGCCACCAACCGTGGCACTAAGAATTTTTCATAGAAGGAAAGGGCAAGCATGCCTCCTTCGTGTTAAATATTCAATCTGTCCTAAAATATAAGGCTTTTCTATTTTGTCCTAGGTCCAACTTGTTTAAGCTTTGACTAAGTTTATAGAAAGCATAACATCTACAAGTCAACACCCAGAGTGCTTACGCCACTCACCCGATCCGTGATATCAACACAGGAGTGAATTGGCGCAGCTGAGGCTGACACGGTAGACCCCATCTTTGCCGGGCCTATGGCCGCACTCACATTGAAACAGCAATAGCAGCAGCCACAAGTAGAGCTACAAAGAGCACAGCAAAAAAGGGATAGACTAGTTGAAGCCACTCCAACAAACTAGAGTGCCGTCGTCACGGTTCATTAGATTGCAGAGGCAAAAGGCAGCAACTAATACTCCTACAAGCTAGCAGAGGTCCAAAGCCTTCATCCAAGTTAGGAAGATCCGTCCACCCCACATCCCACAGCCAAATCCTCATACCAACCCACAAAACCACACCAGCCAGTAGGCAAACCCATCCAACGCTCGAACCTTCGGAACATTCACTACTGGAAACGAGAAATTCCCTGACGGTTTCGAATTTTTTTGACGATTATTGCATAAACCGTCAGGGTAAATAGCATTACCTTGACGGTTTCTTAAAACACACAGGAAAATGGATATTATCTTGACAGTTTCTGGAAAACTCACAGGGAAATTAAATAAGACTCTCATCTCATGTGGGCACTTCCCCCTCCTCTAACAATGGTTGGCCCAAAAAATATATAAATGTGATTGAGGTGGAGATGAGTGTGCTCACTAGGAGAACCATCAGCAAGACATCGAGGTACATGGAAGTGACAGTGAGCGCCACAGTTCTCACCGTTGCCACCATCATCAGATACAGGCTTAGGACGATGGTGGAGAACAAGAAGAACCCCGTGGTCTTGGCTGCTTCGTATTTGCTTAAGCCCGAAGGGAAGTGCCCGCTAATGGTAGTGATCATGGTGATGATGCTATCCAAGTTGAGGATAAGGGCCGACAAGTCGAACATTAAGTCAAGGTCTTGACTGATTGTTGTGTTGTCGTCCCTGCTTTGTTGCCACACTCCATGCCATATTTTGCGTTGGAGGGTGGCCGCAATCATTATTATTAGCAATACCAAGAGAATAAGGTATCCATAGTCCTTGTCGAATGAGATGAATATGCCAAATGTCATCAGCATCAGATGGAACGTTGATATATATACCAAAGCCCTTCCCCACCTTGGTTTCATCCTCCACGAAGCCAAGTCAGCAATGATGGCCACGAAGAAGGCAGCTGAGGTGGCGATCTTGACGACAGTGTCTCCAGTGGAGTATGGTTTTGGAGAAACAAGGAACCCGCTGTATGTGGAAATGGCAAACCCAATAGCCTGCTGTGAGTATTTGGAGCAACGCTCCTGCTGTTCCACTATCTGATCGGCTGGTGTGCAGTGGATGACAATGGCCTGCTTATATTCCACAGAAAAGAAAGGATCAGCTATATATGCATGTCGTATGTGGTCAGTATTTTTAATCTCAACATTAACAAACTTTGTAGTTCTGCAGCCCTGTAGGGGCTTCGGGAACTATGAAAATGCTTATGCTTTCAGAATGGTTGCTACTAGTCGGCCATGCCAACAGCCAACTTCGTTATAAATTAATAGAATGCTGATGAGCTTGTGAGAAATTGGCTAATTCTGTGCACTATGGACAAGAAACAGCTAGCAGAGCAAAGGTGTTCACGTCAAGGACAGAATAGCAAACATTTCTGAAAGGATTGCTAGATAGAGGAGTGTGAGTAACAAATGTTGTTGTTCTTTGACAAACATTTATTCGACTAGGAGTTGGAAACATTACCAGAAGAGATAAAGAAGATGGCGAAGAAAGATAGTAGGTTTGACGATGCTGTCAAATCTGGCAAATCGATCGACCAGGAGATACTGTTTACCGGAAGAGAAGATGGAGAACATGGGAGAATGTTTCTGCTATGCTATATTTAGGAGCTGTTTGGATACCGTGTGTAATTATAATAATCAGATTTATATAATCAAATTTTGATCCAAATAGGATTTGATTATAGGATGGATTATTATAATCAAAACCCATGATTACCATAATCCCATAATCCAAGTGAAACAAGGTTTTAGGGGATAATGGATCCCGAAAGTCTAAATTGGCACCCAATTAAATGTCCAACTTGCCAAACTAGCGAAAAAGATAGAAATTTCTCACTTTAACCAAATATAACCGATTACCATAATCTAGGGACCCAAACACTCTGATTATTGTTGTCCATAATCCTAATTATAATAATCCTATGCATAACCTAGATTATAATAATCCAATTGAGATCGAAACATGCCCTTAGTTTGTTTCGGTGGTGATATGATAGACTAGGTGTATACGTTGAGTGAGTTTGTGCGGTGTTCTAACTTTGAACTTGTTATTGGGCTGGAAGTGTCTAAGTGCTGAACTTGTTATTGGGCTCGAAGTGTCTGGAGTTATTAACTACTGAGATGGCCTTATAACGCCATAAACGGTTGTGTTCATGCACGTGTCTTTTTCTTTGCTCCTAATACTTGGGATGAAATTCCGAAAGCCAAAGAGAGGGAGAGGGATTTTTTTAAAATAATATTTTTAATGATTAATTACAAATCTGGTTGTTGTTTAAAATGAATTGTAAATTTAGTATCCTGTCGGCTTCTGGAGAGCCGACATGACTCCTATCGGCATTTGAAGGACCGATAGGAGCCTGCGGACTGGGCCTATTTTTAGCAATAGACCTATCGGCCATCCAGAGGCCGACTGGATGATGTCGGCCTGCAGATGGCCGACATGATTTTTTTAGCCTTTTTTAAAAAAAAAATATTCACAAATAGATTCCTAGTGGTTGATTTTCGTTTATGGACCCTGACCTCGACGCCATGGCCAATGACGCCGAGGTCTTGGTGAGGCGTCGGACATGGCGGTGACCTAGCGCCGACGTGGACAAGGCCTCGGCACTGAACTCGGCGCCATAGATCTTGGCATTTAAAATGAAACAAGTATAATTATTCCGAGGAATATGCAGCATTGCCATTGTGGTTCAGCTTGTTAGAACGCGCGTAACTTAGCTCAAAGACCTGGGTTCAAACTCATGCGCTGAATCTTTTTTTGCTACATTTTTATAAACAATAGAACAAGAAAAATTATTTGGAGCTAAGTCGCGGGCGTCCTCCCCATACCGTTTGGTCCGAGTCTGACGCTCACGCTCTGATGGCGGCATATGTCATGGTGCTCATGCCGCACCGGAAGGCTACGAAAATCGCCGCTTTCTAGCGTGCCGGTGGCATCATATTCGTAGAGGAAGAGTGGACGTTTATATGGCGTATATGGCCTGGGCACTGGCACGATGATGGCGATGCAAGTTCTCTCGAGTATTAGACCGAGGAACCATGCACCTGAACCTGGTGCTGGTGGAGAAACCGTGTTTTCTGACGGTGGAGGACGGACCATTTCCCGTGGCACAGGCACACAACGTGTTTGGGGCGAGTGAGGTCCCAAGACAAGAACGGTGCTGAGAAAATCAGCGATGGATCGGAGCACAGGTGGGTGGTAAAAAAGTTAAGAGCCCGTTTGGCCGGGCTCCGGCTCCTCTGACTCCTCCCCTGTTCATCTCCTGTAGCGACACTGTTCACAGAAGCCGTTTTTCTCCCTCCTCCTTTCCTCTCCCACTGACAGCGTCAGAGCCGAAGAAGCTCGTTTTTTTCTCCTCCGACTCCAGCTCCTACACGCTACAGTTGCGCTACAGTGTGGGAGCCAGAGCCAGCGGGAGCCCCGCCAAACACGCCCTAAGTTGCAAACTCCCCCCCCTGTTTAGGGAACCAATGGACCTCGGTGTTGGCTCCACACTAGTCCACTGTCTAAACAAATGGAATGTTCTCTGCAGGCAGCAGTGGAACGACACATTAGCCTCAGCTCCTTTTTTGCACATAGCGTATATGGAGGGGGAGACTGAGCACTTGAGCTACTACAAGCAGTATTTTTGTATTATTTTTTTTAAAGAAAGAAAGAAAAGATGTCCTCGGCACTCGCACGCAGTCGCATTACAATCACATGCCGCGCGACGGCGCGAACCAGGTGCCGGTGCTCCCTTCCTTCGTTCACCCCCCAAGTCCACCACGCTGCGGGGCCTCGCGTCGTCGAGAACGATCGGTCGAGGAGCGCCCGGCACTTGGCGCTTGGATGGACCCCTCACCCCTGTGCCGTGCCGACGACCGACCAACGCCCTAACCTAAACGAGTAGGAGTACGTCCAAGGCTCTAGGCACGCGTCACCCTCGCGTGCCGGGGCCGAAGCGGACAGCCCAACCGCCGAGCGCGTACACGTGTGGCAGCTGGGTGGGTGAGTTCATCGTGTACAGAACAGTACATACGTGTGCATGCATGTGTGGGCGACGCGGGGCGGGCTTGGCGGTCTCCTCCTGGCCCGGAGTGACCTGCCGACGGCTGACGCCTCTCCTTGACGCGGACGTCCCAACTGGAGAGGCCTAGTATTCTCTCTCCTCCTTCCTGCTCCTGCCTCCCTACTCCCTAGCGGGCACGGCCATGGTACTTCGGTTCGGTCAATCGACGTTGCTCGAAATAATTTTTCTGGTTCCATTGCTTATAAAAATATAGCAAAAAAAGATTTAATGTTGGAGTTCGAAACCAGGCCTTTGAGCTAAGTCGACCACGTCATAACCAGCTAAACCGCAATGACGTTGTTGCAGGTTCCTCGGAACAATTATACTTGTTTCATTTTAAACGTCAAGATCTATAGGGTAACAGCTCAGCACCAAGATCTACGGCGTCGATGCCTTGTCCACGTCGGCGTCAGGCCACTGCCACGTCCGACGCCTCGCCAAGACCTCGGCGCCATTGGCCATGGCGCCGAGACGTGTTTCCTCGGCGCCAAAAGCCATGGCGCCGAGGTCAGAGTCCATAAACGAAAATCAAACTACCAAGAGGTCTATTTGTGAATATTTTTCAAAAAAAAAGGCTGAAAAATAAAAAATTCGGACCGTGAGTCGAGTATGATTTGATTGGCACACTGGAGCAGTCGAACCATAGCGAATCTTTCTTCGCTTCGGAGGTTGCAGACGGTTCGAACGACATCAAATGAAGTAATATGTAGAACAAGATGTAGTACTCATTGCAAATACAGTATGTATGTAAAACATAACATAATCAAATGCATGGAGAACAAGATCCCACCTTGCAAACCTCACGAAACATCCGTTGGATGCGCTTGACGTGGTTAACAAGAACTCGACAGCTATTACTGTAGCTTTGGAGCAGTAGTTGGACGGCCTTGTGAAGCAGCCGAACCGTGATCGTCAGGTTCACAAACTTGTGGAGGTCAAAGTTGAGTACCGAGATTGCCATCTTTCTGCACTTGGCCAACACAAAGGAGAGGGTTCTGCTGGTCATCACGGCCTCCAGAACTAAGAATGAAGCAGAGTATATTTCCTCCATCAAGTCTCCTTGGGGGAGTTTGGGGGCCTGTTTGGTTTGTTTGCTAGATTTCCTCTCCTTGGTGCGCCCTGCAGAGAAGAATAAAAAATAATGAGCTACTTTAATTTTGATTTGACGCACAAATGAAAAAACAAGTAGTAGCAGTGAAGAAGAACGTGTGCTTGGGTTAGAGCCCGGACCTGATGGATTGGATCTCCTCTTGCGGATGCAGCAACAGCAAACCACAACCAAACTATAGCTGTGTTGTGATCCTAGCTAGTGGAACGAGCTCACGAACGAATCAGAAAATGAATTGAAGGCTTGTGCAGTGGTGGTTCTCTTCTTTATTTAGTGGAGAACTGGGCCACATAGAGATATGCCCCTCGCAGAGCTGGCTAGTTCATGGTACATCTGGCCAAATAAAGAGGATGCCAATCGCCCAAGAGGAGTTGCTCTAGATAGTCGGTGAGTCCCTCATAAGAAAAATAAAAATAAAGAGGTTGCCGTGTTTGTTGGTACGGTACGGTGGCCTAGATCACCGAGACGAGTCGTTGGGGAATGACCGCTCAAGGAATTGCAGTGGAAGGTTCATTCGTCATAATCCGATCTCTGGCTACGCGTCAAGGATAACGGTACCAGGGCTGGCTTGCCACGATTTCTACGGCACTCGGGAGTGAACGCACGACGTCTGATGGGCGTGCTAAATCCAACAGCGACGACCGACCATATATCGTAGTACAAGTTAGCGAGTTGTCGCATTCAGAAATCGCATTATGTTCCCTCTGCCATCGTCCGGTGTGTCAAGTCGATCACGTCCTCAGCACTTCCTTGACTTTTTTCCAGCTGGACTTGTTTCGAACTACAGGTTCGCACTACTGTACACGGCATGCACGAAAGTCCCATCCAAACCTTTTTGTTTTTCTTCTCTCTCTATATGTATAGATAGACAAGCAGTCAGACCCCCTACGGGGTTCATGCGTGTTCAACTTTTCTAAATTTGAACTAATCATGACTGCCAATAAAAAACATACATAAGGATTTACTACTCGTATTGTTTTCCGTAAAAAAGGAAACCCAGTAACACATAAAGCTTATCACATCCTTTGGAGTCGAAAAATTATTCTCACTAGTCGGGTAAGTCTTGCGAGTACATTGTGTACTCATGGTTTATTTATCCTTTTGCAGGTGTGGCTTGAAGGGTAGCTGTTGTGTGGAGGATTTTTCTGGTGGGCACATACGGATCCTTGTATTCTACCGTTAGATGTTTATTGTAATTTCGCTGTTTAAATTCCACACTCTGAACTTGGTACTGTAATAATGTATTTCTAATAACTCTGGTTGTATGAAATGGACTAAGTATTATAAACTCGTTCTCATTATTGGATCCTGGAGGAAACGTGGATTATTCGAGTTCTCCCTTGGGGTGTGCTCTACGGAATCCGTCCGATGTAGCTTGCTTTCGGGGTGCTTAGTGTCTGGTCGAAGACGAGCGCCTCCAAAGGTGTGTTATTTCGAGCGGTTCTGCCACAGCTGTCGCGCTGGGGAGGCAGTCGCGTCTAGGTGGAAGGAGTCATGCCGTCAAGGAAGGGAGTAGCGCCGCGGGGGACGGAGTCATGCATTGCCGGGGGAGGGAGTCGAGTCGCGCCCTCAAGGAAGGTAGTAGCGTCGCCGGGGAGGGAGTCGCCTGCTGCCGGAGGAGGGAATTGCAGCGCTAGGGGAGTCGGGCGCTGACAGGGAAGTCGCACGTGCCGCCAGGGGTCGCGCGCCACCGTGGGGAGCTGGTCGTGCCGTCGGGAGAGTCGCGGTCGTGCGGGCAGGAAGGGGCGAGGAGAAGGCACGCACAGAAACCGTCTTTGCACTTTGGCTAGAACCGAGGGCTAGAAGAGGATTCAGGTGTCCACCTAAATTTGAAAGCTCTAGTGTGTTTTTTTATGGGCACCCATAGTTAGATACGAAAGCCCAAGTAGAATTTTGCTGGAGTTGCTCTAGATAGTCGGTGAGTCCCTCATAAAAAAAAATAAAGAGGTTGCCGTGTTTGTTGGTACGGTGCGGTGGCCTAGATCACCGAGACGAGTCGTTGGAATGAGCGCTCAAGGAATTGCAGTGGAAGGTTCATTCGTCGTAATCCGATCTCTGGCTACGCGTCAAGGTCTATGGTACCAGGGCTGGCTTGCCACGATTTCTACGGCACTCGGGAGTGAATGCACGACGTCTGATGGGCGTGCTAAATCCAACAGCGACGACCGACCATATATCGTCGTACAAGCTAGCGAGTTGTCGCATTATGTTCCCTCTGCTATCGTCCGGTGTGTCAAGTCGATCACGTCCTCAGCACTTCCTTGACTTTTTCCAGCTGGACTTGTTTCGCACTACTGTACACGGCATGCACGAAAGTCCCATCCATACGTTTTTTTTCTTCTTCTCTCTCTGTATGCATAGATAGACAAGCAAGTCAGACCCCCTACGGGGTTCATGCGTGTTAACTTTTTCTAAATTTGACTATGTTTATAGAAAATTTTAACATTATTTGTATCTCTAAATAAGTTTGTTATTAAAATATATTTAATGATTTATCTAATGATAGTGATTATGCACTAAAAATTTAATATTTTTCTTATATATATTAAAAATATTTGACTTTTTAGAGAGTGAGGATGACACTTTTTTGTTACATGGAGAGAGTAGTTACTAAGAAAAACTATACGTCATGTTCGCTTGGCTTATAAGTCGTACTTTTTCGGCCAACGAACAGTATTTTTCTCTCACAACAAATCAACCAACAGTACTTTCAGGCATGGCTTATCAGCAAAGCGAACATGACATATATTTGTAGTAATAATACAGTAACAGAGAGAGAAAACTGTCTTAATTTGTTACTACTACTGTGGATATATCGGATACATACCCCCTAAGCTAATTAAGCTAGCTAGCTACTGTTAATAAGACACCCACCCACACGGCCACACCCCCATCATCATCAGCTACGAACAGATCATTATTTATCCACACACGTGTCTAGTC